AGAGAAGGGCTTCGTGCCAGACTTTATCGAATGCTTTGGCGATATCGAAGAATACGGCTCCTGTTATTTGGCCTAGGTCCATGGCTTTTCTTATTTTTTCAGTGACAACTACTAGCTGGTGCAATGTTGAGTGTTTGGCTTGGTAGCCAAATTGTTCAGGTCTGAGTGGATTCTTTTCTTCTAGGGATTTTCTGAGTCTTCTTAAAACAATTCTTTCGAATAGTTTTGAGATGGCAGGTAGCAGTGAGATGGGCCTGTAGCTTGTTGGTTCATGGATGGATTTTCCTTTTTTAAGTATGGGACAGATAATGGACGTTTTCCATCTGTCAGGGAAGTGGGCAAGCTGCAGTGAGGCGTTAAATATTTCGGTTATTGATGCTAGTATATGATTAGGGAGCAGTTTGAGAGCTTCATTAGGTAATTCGTCGATTCCGGGAGCTTTTTTATTTGGTAGATATTCAATAATCGCTTTTATTTCACCAATGTTTGTTGGTTCTAGTCCTGTTTCTTTATTTTTTTTCATGTATGAATTCACACGTTTGATGTATGTACGAGTAGGTTTGGAGTGGGATGTATAGGGATTGGGGGTGAACTGTTTTTCATAGTTGTTGGCAAATGATTCAGCTGCTTCTTCTGTGGTTAGTGTCTGCCCATTGTTTGTCTTCAGGGTTATTTCTTGTTTTTCAGAGTTGGATAATCGTTTGATGGCTTTCCATATGGTTTGGTCCGTGACTTTCAAGTTTTCGATAAAGTGGTCCCAGCTGGTGTTATCGTGCTCTCTTGTAAGTTTCTGTGATTCTCTCCGGGCCGTCATGTAGGCTGATTTATCTCGGGGGTCGCAAGTATTTTTCATTTTTTTCCTTAGTCTGTTGGTGGATCGTATTTTTTCTTTGATGTGAGGTGGATATCTTCGTTCTAGTTCCGGGTCCTTATATTTTGTTGAATCTTTCAAATTTTGCACCATTTGTTCTTCAATGTGTGTAATGGCCTCGTCTATTTTTGAAGATGTATCTAGGATCAGTTCAGGAGGTTCAGCGATTTCCATTTTGTACTTGAATAGGGCCCAATCTGTAATTTTTATTTTTGTATTTGAGTAGGAGATTTTGAAATCCTGTAGCACAAGTAGTACTGGGAGATGATCAGAGGTTAGTTCGTGCAGGACTTTAGAGTATGCGCTTTGGGAGATGTTTTTGTGCACGGCGATATCTATGATGTCTGGAGGTGAGTCATGAGTAGGTTCGTCGGGGTAGCTCACATCTAGGTCCATAACGTTGATTGCGTTTTGGAGCCTTCTCCCGCTTGGGTTAGTGGTGGTGGAACCCCAGGCAGGATGTTTGCAGTTTAGGTCCCCTGCTATGATGGTCGGTGTGTCCGTTGAAAAAATGTTATAGATATCGGTTTGATCTAGATAGGTGTTTGGTGGTTTGTAGCACGAATACAGGTTCATATTTAACCCGTTTTTGTTTTTGATTGAAATTCCTGTTGTTTCCAGGCTTGAGGTGGTGGCATGAATAGGTGCATGGCTGTACTTCTTGTGGATGAAAATGGCAGTTCCACCACCTTGTCCGGTTAGTCTGTCGTTGCGGATAGTGATGAAGTTTTGAATCCTCATTTTATGGCACGGCTTAAGCCAGGTTTCTGACACTAGTGCGATGTCGATGTCGTGGTCGTTCAGGAATTCTGAGAATTGTTGTTTTTTGTTTCGGAGACTGCACGCGTTCCAGTGAACGATTCGAAGGCTATTTTTATACATATTTTTGTTATTCATTTACATCTAAAGGTGTCTACAACGTTCTTCATGATGTTTTCTATTATTGCGGGGTCACTGAGAGCCTTTTTGATAGCGCTCTCTAGTTGGTTGACCTTAGTGGGTGAAGGAGGATTGGGACGTTCTTTATTGACATATGGAGTTTTATTCTTGTTTTGAGTGGGTTGGGGAATTTCAGAAGGGTTTGGACCTGTAGGGTTGGATTTTTCTTTTTCTGTATTGGGGTTTGGTTTCTTATTAATTTGGGTTTGGGGCACTCTATTTATTTTTCTGTATAGTGGGCAACCACGCCAACTTGCTGTATGCTGACCCTGGCAGTTTGCACATTTAGGTGGGACTTCTTTTTCTTTGGCGCATTCGGATGTGAAATGATTTTCTCCACATTTTACACATTTGGGAGTTTCCCTGCATTCAAACTGAGAGTGCCCAAAGTTTTGGCACCTATGGCATTGTCCGGGGCCTTTGGGAGCCCTGTAAGCCTCGACGTTGCACTTCATGTCGCAGAGATCTGTGATATTGTAAATTTCTTTATTCCTTGCAGTCTTGGGAAGGGTTACCTGGATTAGTGGGAGCTCCTCCTTTGTTCTTGAATTTCGTAGTCTTGCAAGTTTAGACATCTCGAATCCCTTGTTTTCCAGATCTTCTTGTATTTCGGGGATAGTGATGCAGCGGTCGAGACCTCTGACGACGACTCTAAGGCACTTTTCGTCGTCTAGGATCTTGAAGTGGAAGGTGTAGTGGCGATCTTCCAACCACTTGGTAGCTATCCGGTAGTCCGATGTTGTGTGAGTCTGAACGTTGATGTATCGGCCTGATGTGTAAAATTCTGGCTTTTGTTTTGTACAATTGACAAGACCATCTCTAAGGCCTGAACATTCCTTTACTCCGCTTATTTTAATTGGTGGTATTCTGATCTTGGGGTTAGGGGTGGGATTGTTATGTTTGTTATTCAATGTTTCGTTAGGTTTCTTTGATGGGTTAGAGTTTTTATGGGTTTGTTCGTGATTTGGGATTTTGTTTGGTGTCACTTCTATTTCCATTTCGACTGTTTTTGCTTCATTAGGTTTTTCAGGCTGTTTAGATTGTAATTTTGGTTCAGGATTACCTTGTGACCTTTGGTTGGGGCACCAGGTTGTTTTTTGCGTTGTTGTTTCTTTTGCGGCTACTGGTGATTTTTCTCTTGGGCGCTTCGCGGGGGCTTTTGTAGTATTGTGTTCTAGGTAGTTGGAGCGCAGTTCGCACAGTTCCCTTTCGTAAAAGTCAATAAAATTTATTAGCTCGGCAAAAGTGGTTTCGACCGCGCTGGAGTATTTTTTCAAGGCTTGAGAATCTTCTTCATTTTTCAATTCTGGGCATTCTGGAAGTTTCCAAATTGAATATTTACGGGTACCTACTGGGTATTTGGGGTTGGTAAAATTATTTTTGGGGGCTTCTGGTGCAGGGAGGTCTTCCATGGTTCGGGAACTACTGCGGGACGTTTCACAAGAGAAACATCCACGGCGCCAATTTATAATTGTAACGAATAGTATTTTAATTAAAACATTTTTAAAAAATATACGCACTCGGGTAAAACCCGGGCGTTGCCCGGGCCATTCGTCTAGTATATATATATATGGTTGACAGTTTTTAAAAGGAGTTTAGAAATAACTGTCGTTCCAACCCGTTCGTAGAATAGGATGATGATCTAATTCTTAATATAATTTGAAACCTTTTATAAGTCTGGTATTTTATAGGTTATTTCATTCTCAATAACATTGCATGATTACTAAATTTGAAACTTGTAGGTGCCCTTTGTGCAAAGAATAAATTAAACAAAAGTAATTGTATAGGCCCCTTTCAAATAAGGCTATTACTGTGGTGTAAAGGGCGGCCAGCTTTCTATGAATATGTGGTCAAAAAAAGAATAATTTCCATTCCGCCTTTCAATTTTTATTATTATCCTAGACCACATATAAAACATTTAAATTTTGAGTACTAGCTTAAAAGAGCTGACAAAGCAAATTTAATCTAAATCAAATTTCTAGCTGACAGTGGGTTGCCAGGTATAGAACTTAAAAAGGAAATTTTTATATTCTCTTAAAAATAAGAAAAGTTGGTAGAGCGCGCTGTTTTTGTAGCGTAATTAGTTGCTGATATCATGAATATTCGACCTTACAAGAAGTAACCCTGGTTTTAGGCAACTTATGTTAGTCAGATTTTCTCGCGTGTAAATTTCCTAATTACCTCAGACCGCCAATTGATATTTTCTGTCAAATGAAGTCCACCCCAATCTGCACCCAATTTTCAACTTTTCTGTGTCAACAGCGATATTCTGGTAAATGAACTAGCAAATCGAAATGCTAAACTTGCTGTTCTCTCTAACTTTCAAACTTCCTTTATTTATTTATTTATTAATCATCCAAGCCCAATATTCAAATATTTGCCCTATAACAGAGGAAACAAACAAAACAACTAACAAATTCAAAAATATGTATATATTTACGAATTTACTTTTATTAACCGAAAGAGTTCATATCCTTTCCTTTATATCTATTAAAATGAAATCCAAATTCGATGTTTGTTATCGCGTTAGGCAAAATCTACAGAATCAATCATTATGAAATTTCGCTTGTAGGTAGCTGAAGATTTCGTTTAACATATAGGCTATTCAAAAAACTAAAAAGGTTATTGTGTTTTTTTTAATGTAAAACCTAAAAACGTTAGTTCCAGCCTTTTACCGTTTGGCGCAGCATTGGTCGCGATGATAAATGAATTTGATTGGTTAATAATTTTATAAGTAGTTTGTTTACACGATGAAAGTTTTCCAAAGGTAAGATTATCCAATCGCAGTGGAACTTTAGGAAGTATTTACTATACTACTGGGAAAGTTTCTGGTTTGAATTTGATTTGATATAAATATTCGTTACAATTTTATTAGCAAATTCTCTAATTTCTCTCGCAAGCAGCGCCTCTCGTCCCTATATATAGTCACGACCGTCTTTCCTCATCGGCCTCAGTCTCGGATGCGCGCGCACAGGGAGGTCACGTGCTCGCCTGCAGCCAACGGGCGCGCGCGGCCGGCATTACGTCATAGATTATAAACACAAGGTAATAAGGCCAAATAAATAAAATAGTGTGTGATAAGGCACAATTTGGATTATCTACTTATATAATTGCCTTATTCTGTCTGTGTGATGTTCACTGTGTGAAGTTTACGGATAGATATTGGTCAGAATGGATAAAATAAAAAAAGTGTCAAAGGATGGGAATCGAACCCACGACCTTATGCTTACCTGGTAGATCCCATGACCACTAGGCTACCCTGGACATATTTTTCCGTTCACATTTTTATTTTTTTATTTTCAAGACACACACAGTTTGTGGCGGGACGTTTCACAAGAGAAACATCCACGGCGCAAATTTATAATTGTAACGAATAGTATTTTAATTAAAACATTTTTAAAAAATATACGCACTCGGGTAAAACCCGGGCGTTGCCCGGGCCATTCGTCTAGTATATATATATGTGATATGATCCTGTCGACTTTCAATGTGGCACTATAGTGATAATAATGTGGTGAGTGAGAAATAAGGAAACAACAAGTTTGGAAGATGGAACCTGGAAGCCATCCGAGAGAGAGGGAGGTAGCGAGCGGGCTGTCCTCCGCGGAAATGCACGTCTTGTGTGGCCACCAGCCGACTACCGACCAAAATACTCCCCAGGTGGTGACGGGCGGTGAGTGCAATAAGGCGGAGCTTCATAGGCACCACCAGGTAACGCTGAGTCAGGTTCTTGGGCACAGCGTAGGCCTGGTCTGTAAGGGCTGTGTCATCCGTGGCGGCGATGTCTACAGTCACTGGATTGTGTAGACTCATTCCTGCCAACTTCTCCACCCCTTCTGGGTGAGGTTGCCGTGGAGCCTGAAGAACTTGGAGTGGGTGGGCAGCAGAGGAGCCAGCACGGATGTGAAGAGGTGGAAGTGGAAGTCCACCAGGTCTTGGGTGGCCATGAACACCAGGGTCTTGGAGGGCCGGCCTACCAGGAGGGCGGCCCTCCAAGACCCTGGTGTTCATGGCCACCCAAGACCTGGTGGACTTCCACTTCCACCTCTTCACATCCGTGCTGGCTCCTCTGCTGCCCACCCACTCCAAGTTCTTCAGGCTCCACGGCAACCTCACCCAGAAGGGGTGGAGAAGTTGGCAGGAATGAGTCTACACAATCCAGTGACTGTAGACATCGCCGCCACGGATGACACAGCCCTTACAGACCAGGCCTACGCTGTGCCCAAGAACCTGACTCAGCGTTACCTGGTGGTGCCTATGAAGCTCCGCCTTATTGCACTCACCGCCCGTCACCACCTGGGGAGTATTTTGGTCGGTAGTCGGCTGGTGGCCACACAAGACGTGCATTTCCGCGGAGGACAGCCCGCTCGCTACCTCCCTCTCTCTCGGATGGCTTCCAGGTTCCATCTTCCAAACTTGTTGTTTCCTTATTTCTCACTCACCACATTATTATCACTATAGTGCCACATTGAAAGTCGACAGGATCATATCACAGAAGAGTCGACAGGATAAGACCTGGCCGGGAAGCAAATCCCTCATATACCGGAGTATGAAGAAACAAGAAGCCAAGCCACGATGATCGGCCAAACCCAACTCAACTGTAACCACTCCTCTTCGAGCCCGCAACCTCTTCCTCACCAACCTTTGAACCGTGATCCCGAAGAAATATTCACCTACGACGGAGATGGAGCTGCCACACACTTCTTCCAGCACTAGATCTACCCAAGAACGACCACCGTGCCAGAGCAGGACACCTTCCATCATCATGGACAAGACTCCGCCATATCCCTGCCGCTACTGTGATGTACAACACTGGTACGCTCAGTGTCACAGACAGAACTCTCCCGAATCTCAATGAACTTACGTGCGCCCTAAACCAACATAACTCGTGAGTGTAATTGTTTTAACTCCTACCATTCATTCTTTAAATAAGTCATTCCTTGTAGATTGTCCCAATATTTCCATAATTAGCTCAATTTGTGTGAATATGTAAAAATATTTAATATTTCCATTTATCTCTCCACCCCTATTAACAGTGATCTTATTATCCATATTATATCTAGCTATGTGAAACCCATTTAATTAGTTACCTTACCAGTAGATGTAACAATCGTAATTTTAATTAAATAATTTCCATTTTAACGTAACTCTTTTAAAATAACAAAAAAAAAAAATCATAAAAAAAAGGGGGAATTCTACCTATTAACGCTTTACGATTTTTACTATTAACAATATATTTTTCATAATCAAATTATTTATAAAAATATGCCTCCAGCACCTAAACATTTGTATAGACCTCTCCTACTTGTAAGCACGGCTCACGAAAAATAATTTCTTTCCCTAATCGATTCAAAATTCACCCTGTAATTCAGGCGTCGAAGAATTTCAACCACCACGTGAACCTTGCTTACAACCAACCCTTGGTGACTCTTATCTATCTTCCCCTTAATGCCCCTCTCATTCTTACAACTTTGTTAACTTTATACCAGCTCAGGACCTTTTATAGAATTATTGATTAATCAATTATCGAACTTCTATATTGTCATTTCAAAATCCTAACCTTCGCCCTTCATTTATGATAATATATTTCGTAGTTAATCTCTAGCCTATCCACCGACCCACACCATCTAGCCAATGGTGTGTTCGTCACAGGGTGCAGATCGACTAACTGCTAGATATTTATCAACCCCTTTTTGTTCGCACTTGAACAATCTGCATCGAGCGACACAGTTCGCTTCTTCTTCTCGCGCCACACGTTCGCCACAGGGACCCTGTCTTCAAATCTATGTTTGTCCATTGTCCAAACCAGCACGATATAGCCTACCTTCGATATTTCCCACGGAGGTACGTTAAACATCGTCGCTGATCCTGTCCGGTCCGTCATCATTTCGCGCAGACATGGGTTTCACTTTCAACCCACCGCGAAATCATCGCCTTGCACAAGCTCCCACGACGGTTCAAACACCTCGTGTCCGAGCAGCTTGTCACTTGTAACGGACAACGCAGTCCTCGTCCCAATTTTTGGCACTGTGCGCGCATACTTTCCGCAAATTAAATATAAGTCCATCCGACTTCCTCACCTACACACGGGACTTTTCCCCTCGGACTCGCTACACAAGTAACTGCATAGATAAGTTAGATTGGCCCAGGGCAAGTCTTCCCTCGCTCTTTTCGCCGAGGTTCTAACATTGTATGTAGTTTTATATTTACCTCAGTCCTGAGCTCACACAATTGCCAACCTCAATCTCATTTCTCGTACTTTACACTTATAGCATAGAAAGCTCATGACAAGTTTCCCCTTGCCATGTCCGCCTGAAAAATATCTTAAAGTGTAGAGTTCCCTAGTCTTAATGATCTTCAGAATTCCATCATATGTATGTGACTCTTCTTCCCCTTGTTCACACTTCTCAATAACATTTCCCTTATTGTACATTCGATTTTGTTGTATATAGCCTTTTATAACCTTGATATTTTCAAATATTTCCTTAAATGTCAAACTCTCCGGTGTTGTAAAACTGCTTGTAAATAATATTTACTTGTGTACTATACAATATTTTATTTACATAAAACTATGTCACCATTACCTTAACTAATTTCAACTGTAAAATTATTTTCTCTATTCCTGGCTTCTCCAGCTTTAAGTATACTCAAACCATGTTCCCGTTGAAGAAGGCTGAACATGGTTTGAGTATATTTAAAGCTGGAGAAGCCAGGAATAGGGATCGTAGGATGAAGAAAGATATGAACATATTCAAAGTGAGCAGTCGTGGCCGAGAGATCTACCATCCGTAATCTTAGCTTTTTAACCCCGCACTGTTCGAATCCTATCGACTTATTAGATAATAAAGATGTAATAAATAACAGTTTAAAATATCAATAGTATATCATAACCTCGTTAGGATATTTTCAATTCAGAGAAAATTAAAAATTTTATCTAGACTGTGCAGCTACGAATTTCATCTTGCGCACCCCCACGCAGGTTCACTGCAATATAATTCCCACACTACTTGTAAATAGTCAACACATTTTTTATTTTTTATATCCATATATTTTAATATCCATATCCATATATTTTAATATCCATATCCATATATTTTAATATCTATAATCAAAGAGTAAATAGCCAATGCTTGTATATAATTTTTTGACCAACGACCCGAGGGGTAAGAGGGAGAAAAAAGGAGGTTGAATAATAAACAAAGAGAAAATGGCTGCGTTTCTTTTTGTCGCGTCTATTATTTCTTATATACAAATTTAGAGTTTTAAATTTATAATTATTCAAAGATATACCTTAATACGACATATATATGGTTGACAGTTTTTAAAAGGAGTTTAGAAATAACTGTCGTTCCGACCCTTTCGTAGAATAGGAAGATGATCTAATTCTTAATATAATTTGAAACCTTTTATAAGTCTGGTATTTTATAGGTTATTTCATTCTCAATAACATTGCATGATTACTAAATTTGAAACTTGTAGGTGCCCTTTGTGCAAAGAATAAATTAAACAAAAGTAATTGTATAGGCCCCTTTCAAATAAGGCTATTACTGTGGTGTAAAGGGCGGCCAGCTTTCTATGAATATGTGGTCAAAAAAAAGAATAATTTCCATTCCGCCTTTCAATTTTTATTATTATCCTAGACCACATATAAAACATTTAAATTTTGAGTACTAGCTTAAAAGAGCTGACAAAGCAAATTTAATCTAAATCAAATTTCTAGCTGACAGTGGGTTGCCAGGTATAGAACTTGAAAAGGAAATTTTTATATTCTCTTAAAAATAAGAAAAGTTGGTACAGCGCGCTGTTTTTGTAGTGTAAAGAGTTGCTGATATCATGAATATTCGACCTTACAAGAAGTAACCCTGGTTTTAGGCAACTTATGTTAGTCAGATTTTCTCGCGTGTAAATTTCCTAATTACCTCAGACCGCCAATTGATATTTTCTGTCAAATGAAGTCCACTCCAATCTACACCCAATTTTCAACTTTTCTGTGTCAACAGCGATATTCTGGTAAATGAACTAGCAAATCGAAATGCTAAACTTGCTGTTCTCTCTAACTTTCAAACTTCCTTTATTTATTTATTTATTAATCATCCAAGCCCAATATTCAAATATTTGCCCCTATAACAGAGGAAACAAACAAAACAACTAACAAATTCAAAAATATGTATATATTTACGAAATAACTTTTATTAACCGAAAGAGTTCATATCCTTTCCTTTATATCTATTAAAATGAAATCCAAATTCGATGTTTGTTATCGCG